TGTATGTAAACTTCTGACTAAAACATGTTGTTTGGAGAGTCAACATTTGTTTGCACCTCAAAACACAAACCATGAATGCAGTTTCTGTGCAGCTATGGATCTTTGTATTTCTTGTCGCAAACTGAATGCTGTCTCTTGATTTAAACAGCCTAACCAGAAGAAGAAATTTACAATTATTACCAATGTTTGCATTGTATCCAGCCTCAACAAATGTTATAGAAACACATTTGTCCAGAACACTAAACCTTTCCCCTAAAAAAGGAAGTCAAAATATGAGTGTTAAGTCAAGCATCAAAGTACGTACCAAGCCCCCGAGACTAGATTTGCACATGTAATAGAGAACTGACAAGACTAATTACAGACAGAGCTGTTTTGACAAGACTAGTGTGAAGTGTAATAAGTCTTCCACAAGTCTTCTGAGAAGTGACAGGTTAGTACTATATGTCAGAATGCTGGTATATAAAATGCCATATGAACAGCAGCTGAATACATGAATTACCATAAAGCATTAGGAATGAAGATATATATCAACAGCGTTCAGCCATCAGGGTCTTCTCTTGTGTAACAAACTGCTAGTTTAAGAGACATGCACCCTCTTGGAGTTGTTCCTCCCTTATCTCAGTTATGCTGCTTCAGGCTCCTGCTGCTGTGGGATCTCCCACTGCACCTCTCCTCTACTCTTCAGTCTTCATATTTATTGACTCTGTGTCCACTCTGTGCTTCCTCTGTACATTTCTGTACATAATGCTTGTCGTGAAGTTGCACATTTCTAACCTGCTGACCAACCTTCTGTGGCCCACACAACACTAAACACAATACTTTTAACATAGCTGTAATGTATGTTTGTTGCTGCCACGCCAGATATGACATTTTAATCATGAGTTTGATTAAAAATGCTAGTTTTAACCTTTGTATTGAATTAATTAGTTTGTGTCTCCTCTCCAGGCTGTACTTAGCTTCCATCTGGTTTGGACCTAGGAGCTGCTAAATCAGTCCAGGCCCTTTTGAGCACTTCCTTTGCAGTGGTGGGGGGTGGGGGATCGTATTTCAGGGATTTTCAGATTATAATATCTGCTTTTACTCAAATATATTTTGGTTTGATTTTCTGCACTTATATTTTAAAGCTTTAGTCTACTGTTGGTGATAAACTGTGTTGTTATAAGTCATACTATCCATACTATCCAGTATTATATGGTATATGCAATGAAACCATTAGGAGCTGCAGCATTGAAAGGATATACATGAATACATTTATAATTATGATCAGTTAATATCATGTGTATTTTGTATATAAATAATATGTATATGTTAGTCTGACAAGCGTCACTCCACATAATGAGCACTTTTACTTTCGGCACTGGACAACAACCACAGATAAACAGACTTCATGTAGTTAAAGTACACAGTTTGCCTCATGCTATGCTCAGGACAGTAGGAGCAAACAGTTCCTATTGCAACAACACTTTTTTTTTTTTTTTTTTTTTGTGGGAGTAGATCATCCAGGAGAACACTGGACAGTCAGTCAGCAGGTGGAGTTTTCCTCACTCCCAGCTGGATCATTGCTGCTCAGACCGAGGCTTGCACTACGGCAGCATCAGCTCTCCTTTTTATTAATGGCATGACCATGACCATGACATGCCCCAGCTCAGGTAGCTCCGGCACCATCTCTGACATTCTGATAAAGGTCAATGTGATAAATAAAATAAAATGAAGCTAAATGAAGCTTATTTTTTATTTTTTATTTTTTAAGAGCATCCAAGACCCAAAATAGAATTATCAAGTATCACATTCCAGGATTTATTCCATCTCATGAAGACTCTCAACAATGTTGAGTATTTGAGAACTGAAATGTAATTTTCTCTTCAACCCTGTTACCTACTCTTGGTTTCATTAGAAATGAATGGTGCCACAGTCTCAGTCTCCCCGCTCTGTCACTGACACACACGCACACATACTGATCCACTAATTAGAGTTGGTCTTTTCATAAACTCAACATGTTGATATCATCTGATCAAGCAGACATCAAAGACTTTGTAATCACATGCCAGACTCTCTGAGCACACCAAGCTGTAAATATTTAAGAGGATATCAAACTTGACTCACTTATTGAGTTGAATGAACTCAAAGTCCTAGTTTCTAACATTTTAAAGTGTGCATTCCAAGTTAGCATAAGTCTGTAAGGACATATTTTGTTATGTAATAATAAGAAGAATAACAGCACAGAATAAAGTATGTGCTCATTATGTGCTGAAAGACATTTGTGTTGAAACACCATCTGCTGGATTGAATGAGTCCATCATACCCAGAGGACCAATTAATTCATGTCAAATAGTTTCATGAGCGCTGATGACCTGGCTCTGGAAAACAGGTCCATCCAATCAGGGCACAGCCACACAAACTTACCAAACAATATAAAATTATTTTTTCCCCATATGTTATTCAACAAAAAATGAAAAATTCTTTCACTTCTTATGTCACACTAGAATTAAAAATCTGACTCTACAGCTGACAAATCGGCCCCTGTCTAATTTAGTCAAGGCCATCTGTGCTTCTTACTGTACTTTACACTCAACCGCCAATTAACTGTAAGAAACTGTTTGTGTTTCAGGAGATGAAAGGGATTCACACATGAGGGCTGCATGTGTGTGCGGGAGGTTCGATTATTGCCAGATACTTTGGGAGCAACAGCTGGAAACACTGTTAAACTACTAAAAACCACACTATGGGTGTGAAAATGAGGCAGGGTCAGATAAACGGTTCGACCATCTCCACTTCACCTGCAGCAAACATATGGGAGTAGGGGGAAGGCACATGGGCAGTTCCTTATATCGTGTATCAGCAAACTGAATTTCATCACCATTTCTTAAAAACATGTGCAATAATGTCAACAAGTTGTACTTTCCTGCCATAAATCATTAAAACGCTAACACATTTTTTGTTCAGTATAACTGTAATTTGACATCTTAATCAAAAAATGAAATAATAATAAAAAATATTGTTTACTGTTATTAAATAGTTAATTACATTGTTTTTTTTAAGATTTAGCATTAAAAAATAACATTTTGATTAAAGATCTTGCACATACTGATGGATTACTATTACAGAAACCTATTTAAAAAGATTTAAGAAAAACTTTATTGAAGACTTAAGAGAATATAAAACACTTGTTCTGCATAAAATGTGATCCCTGTGTTTGATGTACAGTATAATATCTCTTTCTAGTAACCTCTTTTGTGTGGCTATTAGAAACTCGCAGATATGTCAGATCTTTAAAGGGGCACAAGTCAGAAATGTTGGAAACCAAAGGTCTGAATTACATCAAAAAATCCTAACTAACTAACTAGCAGCCCAATTTTGCAAATAAATGCAGTGGAACGGGAGGATAAAGTTGCATAAAATGAAAAGTTAAGTACCTTAAAACTGTAAATCTAAATCTGGTAATTCAGTTAATGTTCTTTCCACTTATAATAGTAAAAATAAATTGCCAAGACAAACTGATACATCTAATGCAGACCAACTGATGCTGACCTGTGCCAAGAATGAATGAAAACTGTATCAACAGCAACCTCTCCTGACAGTTTCGGTAAACTACAGCCAATCATTTTAAGCACGTGTTAAACAAAGGGGTGTGTGTAGTGAGTGGGGGCATGGCCGTTTATATTTTATTTCATTGAGACTTCTTGTTGGTATGGGGGAGTATTTGCTTTGGGTGTGAATGGAAAATGCCTGTTGTGACATACATGGTTATAAAAATATAACCATACACGTGAAACAGGTTTTCAAGTGAAGTTTCTGTTTTGTGGTGAAACAGAAACTTCTATAATGAACACGCGTTTCGTAGCCTTAACTGTACCAATTTAGAAATATTATAGCACATGTAATGGTGAGTTCTTTCACATAAGGAAGATTTTGTGCTTAATGCTGTTTTATTGCTGGGGCAGATGGGCACAGATGTTCTCTGTGATATTTATTGATTGTGCAGGTTTGGTTCTCAACATGCACAGCTGGCAAAATCTCACAAAATGAATATCTGTGTGTAGGTTACTGTGTTTATAGCATGAAAATATTTAAAATCTCAATAGTTGATTAACTTTTCTGATGTCGTAAAATAAAAAAGCTCCTAGAATGAGACATTTTTTGTATAATTACATGACAGTACATTTAGAAAAAGACTGAACAGTATGGTTTATTTGGAGTTGTTTCTGAACAAGCCACAAGACCTCTGTAACAAAGTCCTTTGAACAGATGAGACCGAAATGGAGTTGTTTAGCAATATTGCACAGCAATATTTGTTGACAACACCAATCCATCCATCCATTTCAGCTTATCCAAGGGGGGCTGGAGTCTATCCCAACAACATGAGGGTGAGATTGGTGAAAACATATCAATACAAACACCTCATATTAACTGTTAAGCATGGAGGGGGAGGGGTGATGATTTGGGCTTATTTTACAGTATATCAGTATATGGGAGCCTTGCAGTCAGCCTTTGGTATGCAGTCTGTATACCAAAGTGTACTAGAGTGAAATGTGAGGCCATCTGTCCGCCAAATAAAGCCTGGCCAAAATTGGGTAAGTGCAATACTACAATCCCAAGCCAAGCCAAATCTACAACAGACTGGCTAAAAAAAGCAAAGGTTTTCCAGTGGTCTAGTCAAAGACCAGAACTCAACGTGAATGAAATACTGTGTCGTGACCTTATGAGAGCTGAACATAAATAACTGCTCACAAACCTCAAAAAGTGAAGGAACTCTGTAAAGAAGAGTAGATCAAAATCTCTTCACAATTTCAATTTCTTATGTGAAAGACTGACGGAATCAAACAGAAAATTATTATTTCAGGTTATTGCTGATAAAGATGCTTCTAAAGTAACTGAATCAAACGTTGTTTTTCCACATCCTGCACAGAGCCCCATGAAAGCTTTTTGTCCACATATATGTAAAAAAGATGAACAACAATAAGCTATATGAGCTTAGAATTTGATTTCCTTAACCTCGCACATGTTATTTTAAAATGCGTGTGAATGTTATGTCCAGCACAAATACAAACATAAACATTAGAACAGGAATAAACACACATGCAGACTTTGATTTGGTTCTGCTGACGTATTTATTTATTTATGAAGCTATATTATTACTAAATTAAATAGAAATAAATTAGATGGGAATCTACATTACATGACCACAAGTATTATATTCAACTATTCTAATACTAAGCAGTAGCACCTGGTAAGTAAACTCATTTTTATTGGTACTTCTGATCCAAAGTAAGGAAATGTAACGATAACTTTGCTGACAGATTATCTTGCTGAAAACGACCTAGTTTACTGGAAACTTTTCTAAAAATGTTTAAAATGTAGTACAAATGCTGTAAAAACTTCATCGAAGCCATCAGGAGTTGTGCTTGAAATGTATCGTTTGAGGTAGCCATGTTGATCTTGCACATGTTGCGCTCAGCTGTACTGAATCACATACTCCGGATATATTTGATTTGGATCAAAAATGACAAAAATATTAGGATGAGAGACATCATCAACACAGCTGTCATGCAAGTTTTCAGGACTCCCATGATCGGGTTTTTGGAAATGAGATAGTCCAGCAACTGGTTTTCCAGTCATCACCCGAGCCAAAAATATAATTTTAGTTTCTCCAGAGTGTACAAGTTGTGCTTTCCCACCATAAACTGGCAGTGGTTCCAAGCTGCTCTTACTGTATACGTCGGCTAATGCTGCATGTTTGGCAAAATAAATTCCTACGTAAAAAAAGAAACTTAGATCAGCTGAGAAGAAAAAAGACAGAAGAAATGGTAAAGAGTTAGAAATTCAGATTTGCACAAAACAATGAACTTACCTTTGCCAAATACGTGGGCATGTTGTCCAGCTAACCGTACATCAAAGTTATACTTGCAAATATAATCCACATTTTTAATATCAGTCCCATGAAAGAGTTGTTTCTCTTGAATTTCTTTGATGCCTTGAATCCTCATCAGCTGTTTCTTTTTCCTTTAATGCAAATATAAAAATAATGGTAATAAAGAAAAGAAATTATTAACAAAAAACATAGTGTAAAACTTAACTTACCTGCAATATAATTCCCAAAGATCCAAATTCTGTATCCTGTTGATTGACAGAATGGTTTTGCCCAACAGCCCAACGGTCTTTACATATTCTTCCACTTTCCGAAACTCGGGGGAGTGTTCACTCAGAGGGATTAACTTTAAAAAGTATCCGAAATCAGTTATTGCTGAAATATCTGTGGTTTTAATCTATGCTTCTAACTGTATTGCATATTTGTGCTCTAGCTGTATGGATTTTGGACATTAAGTAACATTTTTGTCACCTGGTATGGCAATTCGGGATCAAACGATTCCCAGGAAGGGAGGCTGAAACAGGAACACCTGCGGGAGGAGAGTTAAGTTTCCATTGTGCTGAAACTTTCACTTTCATTTTGATATAAACTATACTGACGCTAACTTGTAAACCTCACTGCTGTTACTTTTGAGAATATAAAAATTGTACCTTTTTTCAGTGTTGCAGCTCCTCTTGATTCTTTTTTGCCTCCCTGTGGTGAGGTCTGTCAGTAGCATTTCTACACAGAAACACATGTATTAATCTGAGCCAAGTTCTTAATGTGTGAATGAAGACTGTGAGGATGAAAATGCACAAAAATTACCAGAGAAATCAATCTGGCCCCTGTAACTGAAAGAAGATGTGTTTAAAATATCCTTGGAGTTTTTCAGGTAAAACGTGTCAACATCCTCACTGCTAAAGGTGAGATTGTGGTCATCCTACAGAAAAGGGACAAGAAAGTAGAAAAGTAAGCTTTACTTTACTTGACATTACTTACCTAGGTAGTGTGGTCTAAAGAAATGCACAAGTTACCTCAAACTGGTGCCAATGTCCACAGTCGGCCAGGTAATACCACCAGCAAGGGGTGTCAGATGTATCCATATCCTCTTCTGTATTTTCCCCCATTTTTTGTTGTTGTTTCTTGTTGTCAGAAATGTAACTGATTATATCACAGAAAAAGCTGAAAAATTAACCACATAGTGTGATCTAAAGAAATAAACAAGTTACCTCAAACTGGCTGCACTGTCCACAGTCAGCCATGTAATACCAGCACCCAGGAGTGTCAGATGTATCCATATCCTCTTCTGTATTTTCCAACATTTTTTCGTTGTTGTTGTTTTTTGTTGTCAGAAATTCAACTGATTATATCAAGAAAAAGCTGAAAAAGTAACCTGCTTCCTCTCTATGACTAAACTACTGGTGTTTCTGACTCCTCATGAGTCAAATCTCATTCATAGACACACCTTCTACATAGCCCTAGAAGGCAAAGTAGATCATGTGACATTACATGCACAATATAATTTGTTTTCAGTCTTCTAACCTGAAAGATGGGCTACAATAATTATTTTATGTGTTTAAATTGAAAAATGTATTAATTGTGACATGCAAATTACAGACAAGTATAGCTTAACACACGCATAGCTGTAAGATGTTTCCCCCCCATACATTTAATATAAATAAACTCAAAGTACCACAAGTGCACCACCTTGTGGCATCACCTTGTGCAGGTCGAAAACACATACAAACATGGTCATACAATTAATTGAACAAATGCACACAAAAAAATAATTTTACATTACAGTACAACAACAGTGTGCTGAGCACATTTTTTTTTAATTACACAAAGTGCAAAAATAAACCTGCGTTATTCAGGTTTTAACATCAAACCCAGATGACTTGGAAATTAAATTCAATGTTGAATTGTTACAATTTTTAAAATTAACTTCATTGGAGGCAACACGGTGATGCAGTGCTATCACCTCACAGCAATAGGGTTTATCCTGCCTGGGGCGTCCCTGTGCCTTTGTGGCAAGGATGCGGCGGGAAGGCCTGGCTCACAGTCTCTGCTCTAATTCATTCCAAAGGTGTTCTATCAGGCTGAGGTCAGGACTCAGTGCAGGCCAGTCACATTCTTCTACACCACACTCTCTCATCTATGTTTTTATGGACCTTTCTTTGTGCACTGGTCCACAGCCATGTTGGAACAGGAAGGGACCATCCCCTAACTGTTCACACAAAGTTGGGAGCATGTCATTGTTCAAAATGTCTTGGTATGCTGAAGCATTAAGAGGCTGTGATGTTCTTCTTTATAGTGGACAGAAATTATTTTTTGGAGTGGTACAAATAATTTGTGTGGCATCTTATTGAATTCAGAAGAGCTGATTGTTCTGTAAATAGTTTGAAATGGTTATTTAAAAAAGGGATCACAAAGTAGGAACTCCAGCATCACTTGAGGGAAGATGAACAACTTTAATAATTGACCAACGCGTTTCGGCTTGTGGCCTTCATCAGGGTCATGATGAAAAAAAATTTTCTACTTGGAATTTATGTTTTTTGTCTGATTTTAGATCAATTTTGTTAATACAGTATGTCAAAATGAAAGCATAACTGTAAATTCA